ATTTATTTTCAATTGATACATAATTTGTATAGATTTCTGGGGTACAATGTGATAAGCCAATATCATATGGTGTATAATGATCAAATGAGGATAATTAGCATTTCTTTGTGTTGGGATCCACTGTCCTCTCTTCTAAATATCTTGAGATATGTCCTGTTGTAAGCTGTATTATTCCACTATGCCAGAACACTAGAACATATTTCTGTGTCTAACTGTATTTTGTGTCCATTATCTAGCTTCTACATCTATCCCTCATCCCACCTACCACTCCTAGACTTTACTGACACTCTTACTTTTTTTTGTTGAGACAAAATACCCGACAACCACAAGTTAAAAGAGGAAAGGTTTATTTTAGCTCTCAGTCTGTAGAGGTTTCAGTCCATAGTCAGCTGATTCTGAGGCAGGTCAGTGTGGCCAAGGAGAAACAGTCCATTGTATGGCAGGCAGGAAGAAAAGCAGCAGTGAGGACTACATGCCTGTTGGTTGGTGCCACTCACACTCAGTGTGGGTCTTCTGATTTTAGTAAATCCATCTAACCACACCCAGAACTATGCTAATCCAATCATCAGATTAGTCCAGTAGCACGCCTATAATTCATATTCACATACCTCCTCTGAAAAACTACCTCTGAAAAACCCTGCCTATCAGCACATGACGCTTTGAGGGACAGCTAGATACAAGACATAACAATGACCACTATTATACTGTCTACTTCTATAACTTTTTTTTAGCTTTCACATAGTGAAAACCAAAGCATTTTTTTTTGAGCAGAAAAACTCTGCTCTGTTATACTAATGTATAACTACATTAAAGTTATAGCATTTAAATAATAAACTAGAATAACAATTTTAAAAATAATACATTTCAATTTGCAAGACGTTACTCAAATTCAGAAATGTGTTTCACATATTAAGTAAAATTTGCATATGATAAAATATTACATTTAGCAGCTGTTTCAGTTTTAAATTTAAAATATTAATTAAAAACTCCAAGTGGTCATATAGAAAGATATAACTGAAATAGCTCATGTCTGTCTCTATTATCATCTTTATACTGTTTTTATTTCCAGTCCAATACTTACTGTGAACAAGTAGTCTCACAGTTGCTAATATCTGATATTATTTAGAATTTCTGATACATTGTGGCAATAAAAAGCAGACTATAAAATTCAATTTTTATTATTGTTTCTAAATCCTCTACAGACACTACATACCTTTATTTTCCTACTCTGGGTTGACAGCTTCCATTGCAGGGCCTCTGGTATGTCCCTTACTAGACTGTTTACCTCCTGGTACTATCAAATCTACAAATACTTTTTCATGATTTCATTTATGTACTGGGCACTGTGGTAGGCACTCTTAAACATTATCTCTTCCGAGCCTTGCCACAATCCAATGGTCCAAGTAAGAACTCCTTGTTAGCCTCATTTCGTGAATGATAACCATCTCAGGGACTATGGGCAACTTGGCTTATTTATAAATAAATAGAGACAGAATTCAAATTGAGGTAGGATTCAAAAGCCCATAATCATATAAAACTGCTTCATGAGACAAATATAACTCGAGTGGCTTCCACAAGATAGCAGTAGAGCAATGCATAAGAAACAGTCTCTGTCAGCAAAGGGTCCCAGTATACTGTTATTCCACTTTTCCTAGAGGTAGCCTTTCCCATCTATCTATCATCACAATTGTACATATTCATTAACATGTCATCATAGACTAGATATTCTTTGCATCTCCATTCTTTTTTTTCTCTTCCCTTTCTGGGCCTCTTATCAATCAGGTATCTGAATTTCCTAATTGATTCTCATGTTTTGCATTTTTTTTATTTCCTATTTTTTCATACTGATTCTTCTTTCTGATTTGATTCCATCAATCATGACTGGCTTATAATTTAAGAATCTCCTTGTTTATTGTATCTGCTGACAGTTTGTGAAGAGTCATTTCTTCCATGTTTGTAACATTTGAATGTCAGCTCAGTTACGACATAATTTGCTCTCCCTTTTGTTACTGGGTGAGAAGCAACCTTAGTAGGTGTTATAATACTGTATTTGCCTCCTTGTTGGTGTTCTTGTTTCACTAGTTGCTATGGTTTGGGTGTCATCTGAGAGTTTGCCCTGGGATTTACTATATTAAAGAACTGGTCTGCAGGGTGGTGGTACTGGCAGGTACTGTAGACATTTAACAAGTGGGGCCTAGTGGGGGCTGGGGATTTAGCTCAGCGGCAAAAGCGCCTACCTGGCAAGCGCAAGGTCGTGAGTTCGGTTCCCAGTACCAGAGAAAAACCAAAAAAAAAAAAAAAAAAAAAAAAAAGTGGGGCCTAGTGGGAGGTCCTTAGGTCATTGGAGGTGTGACCAACCTCTGAGGAGACTGTGAGGTTCTAATTTCTCTCTCTGCTCCAGTTCAAGATGTAACTGCTAATTTAAATACCTGCTTAGGCCATTGTTTTCTGCTACTTTGATCAGAGGTGGAAACCACCTGCTACCCTATTTTGTACTTTGACCTTTTAAGCTATGAATTAAATAAAGCTTTACTCTTTGTAAAGTTAGTTACTTTGCGCATTTAATTGTAGTGATACAAAGGTAATCCACCAAGCCAGGTCAATTTATACCATCTTGGCACTCTGTCAGAAGTCTGAATATGGACTTCATGCCCAAGTGTGGTACAGATTTAAGGACTGAATTCCTCTTGACTGATCTGTGCCCATGGTCTCTAGTGGATGCATAGCAAGCTCTTTCTTGTTTTCCCAGATATTTTTGCAGAAGGAGTAGGCCTTTGTGATTACTGGCTTATTTCCAGATGGTTAAGCTTTAGCTTCTTAAAATCATAGGATAGGTTTGCAATATTTTCACTTTACACAATTAGAACTTTGAGGCTAGGGATGTAACTCAATAGTACAGTACATGCTTAGTGTAGGCAAGCCCTGTGTCTTATTTCTAGCACTGAAAAAGTCCAAGAACAAAAACGAAAACAAATTCTCCACAGTTAGGGCCAATAAACCAAGAACTTTCAGCTTCACCCTTGTTCACTTTTCAACTTTGATTTTACTGTCATCTAGGGAACCGATTCTCTTAGTTTCAAGCGTTTTTCTTATGTTTCACATAGGATCTCTTTTTACTGATGGAACAGTTATCTGACAGTTTGGTATCCATCTGGTAATCCACCATCCATCTCACTACTTTCCCTGTCCCATCTACTGAAACTGTACAGTGCAAAACTCTTAACTTTCCTCCCATTAGTTATTTGTCTTCTCCCCATTCTCATTGTACTGTGTATCTAGATATCCCCTCAATGTCTCCTCATGCACTCATAGATAGGGCTTTTGGAGGTGACTGGATCATGGCGAGACTAGTCCACTGATGAGTTTATAGCTAAATATGATGCTGGGAGGTGAAGCCGGGTGAAGGAGCTGGGTCACTAGGGGTGTGGACTGGAACACCGACACTTTTCTGCTCCCTGACTGCCATGCTGGGAGCAATTCTCCTCTGCCATGCTCCTGTGCTATGCTGTCCTGCCTTGGAGTCAGCCAACAGTGTAATGAAACCTCTACAAACTGTGTGCCAAAAAAGAAAAAAAAAAAACCTTTCCTACTTTAAGTTGTAGGTGTCTGCTATTATGTCTCAGCACCAAGAAAGTAAGTAAGGTACTTTTTTTCTTTAGGTTCTCCATCACTAACATCCAGGAAACATGACTTAGAGAGGTCTCTTTAGTAGGCACTAGCAGAGGAAAAAGCTGAAAATATCCACAGATGTGTAGAGGGAAAATTGAGGCTGGTTATAACTGATCCAGTAAATGACTTGATAGATTTTAAAGGTGTAAAGTTAGAAAGAGGGTTCATGTAAAGATAGTAGTGTATCAGCATGCAAATATATATAGATATATAGTCTGTCAGGGAGGATATACTGGCTGGTATAAAGTTAAAAACCAACTTCATTCTAAAGTTTTTACTGTAAGTTTCAAGATGGTGATTTTATTTTTAAGATGGAACCTTAAGATGTCAAGTAAGGATTCCCTTGAGGACATACTATATAAAGAATTTAAATTCCCCTTTGTCTTGAACATTGGTAAACTGGGACTATTTTACCTCCACTTTTGATTCTGTTCCCTAATTCTAACTTCTTCTACTTAGACGGCAGTCTTATCTGCAGTACTCTCACACAGACTTACTTGCACCCATTTCTCTCTCGTTTTCCAGTGCAGTATCATACCCATGGTGAGAAAATCCTAGAGTTCTAGTGGTATCCAGCCTCAAAAAAGCTGGGGCACAAGTGAGAACTAAGAATAGCACAAATGAGTCCCTGCAATATAGACAATTCAGGAGGGACACAGGATGTTAATAGTGATCATGGTAATAGTCCTTCATATTTATTAAATCATAACATTTACCAGGCAATTTAAATGTTTTGCATAGATATGATTTTAATCCATCACTCTAGTGATTTAACTACTATTACTCTTTACCGTTTATAAACCAGGAATCAGAGGCGCTGTGTTAAAATAAGTTTAAGATTACACAACTGTTGTTAGGAAAAGTGACAGAGAAATCAGAAAAACAGACAAATATAACACCAGACCTTCTCTGGGAGCTTTTCTTTTTTTTTTT